ATTTTTTTCATTTATTTCTTTCTTCTTAGACTAGCTAATCTCTTTTTTTTTTTTTTTTTTTTTTTTTTTGTCTTTTTCCTTTTTATCGGTACCGGGGATCGAACTCACAACTGCCTGTTTCCAAGGCAGGCACTTATGCCACTGAGCTAAATCCCCAGCCCCTAATCTCATTTATTTTAAAGTCTGCTGATTCTCAAATTGGCTGTTGAACTCTTTCAGTTATTGTGATTTTCAACTCCATAAATTTCTATTTAGTTCTTTCTTTATAAATTCAATCTCTTTACTAATATATTTGGCTGGTGACAAAATTCTCATAATTTCTTTAGATATGATTCCTCTTAGTTCTTTGAAAATAAAGTCTTTATGCAATAAGTACAACACTTTGAATTTTTCAGGGGCAATTTATATTGACTACTCTATTTTCTGGGTATGCAGCATAACTTTTTGTTTCTTTATGTGTCTTATAATTTTCTGTTGAAAGTTAAGCATTTTAATAACACATTGTGGTAACTCTGAAAATCAAATTATCCTTCTTCCCCAGCATTGCTGTGTTGTGTAGTGAGTTTTCAAAATTAAATCTAGAAAGTCTGTTTATTTTTTACTTATATGTGGCCACTGAAGGATCTGCTTGGTTAACTTAGTGGTCAGAGAATGATAAAATAGAGATTTCCTTTTATGTAGAGGGCACCTTTATGTGTTAGGACAAATCTTTTACACTTGGCAAGGAGAACGACACCTCTGCCTTAGTCTTCACTTCCTGCCTGCACAGAGCCTTAAAGACAGACAGAGATAAGAGTTTAAGACTTTTTCTCATGGTGTTTTTCATTTTATTTTATATTTTCTACATTCTCACTCCTAGGTATGCAGGTGATGTGCTATAGTTCCCAGAATATGTCAGAGTTCTTCAAAACTTCCTACAAACATCTCATTCCCCGGATTTTGAAAAATTTTGAAAAAAAATTGTTAAGTAAGTTTTGATGTTTGTTTTTTTGACCAGCACCTGGAAGTAATTTGCCCTTCATGGGTTCCAGGTCAGTATAAAATAAGTATAAGCCTTTTCAGTGGGGTCTTTTGGGGCACCAGGAGACAAGTCAAATAATGAAGTAATCCTAGAAATGGAGTCTTAAGGAACTGAAACCTTGTTCTTCCCCTACCCAACAGTGGAAGGCTATAGTGTTAAGCATGAATGTGGATGTGGGCTTTGAAGGCTATCACAGAACTGCAAAAGACGAAAGTAGTGCAAAGCAAAACCCAACAAAACTTGCCATTCTTACTGAACTCCTCAATAACCTCTTCTTGAATTGCTGCAAGCCTCTGTTTCATTTCAAAGATTCAGAAAGAGTTAATTCAGATAACTTGCTAATTTTCTTATTGGTGTCTCTGAGGAAAGGATTTTTGAAGGTCCTTTTTTTGCCCTTACCACTGATGTCCTACTCTTTTATCTTTAACTTTTATGTGAATGTTTGTTTAGGTGTATTACGTGTAAATGACTTTTTAAAAGTCTCAACTAAAGAACCTTTGTCCTTTACTAGGACAAGTAAACTTTTTAGTATATTTTGTTTACATTTAATAGTCACCCTCTTTATTTCAAAGTCTTTTTTTAATATTTCAATTATTTTTCAATTTATCTTTGTTGTACCCTGCCCTCTGATAATCTGAAGTCCTACTTCCTATTTCTATTTTACTATAAATTACTCTAAATATACATATCAAAATATTTAAACTTGCATAGAAATTTTGATAGGGAACTATCAAAATAAAAACTAAATAATAAAAACATAAGACCAAATTTCAAGACAATATTTAAAACAAGAAAATTAAATCATTATAATAAACTTTTGATCCTTCCAATAACTGATGCTATTTACTAACTACAGTGCACCAAACAAGATAATAAACTTCATTTGCTGATTAATTAATCTTCATAAGTCTATACAAATATCTTGTTACTATTTACATATGACTAAATAAACTCAGAAACTAAATCCAGAGCCAATACCACAATGATTTTCAAGGCCTGTCCCATTCATAAGAGTAAGAAGTTAAGTGCACAGTTGGTTGGGAGGAGTCATATTTTTAAAAATAGATCTTAGAAAATTATCTTGTTTTGCTATCTTTCATCTGATGAAAATTTTAAATATGAAGGAGAGAAAGTATAATTGTAGATAAGTTTGTAGATAAGTTAGAAGAGTGAAAACATGCTAAAGAATAGCCTGTAAGAAAGGGACATCTGGGGGAGTATAAGAAGGAAGTCAGAGGGACAAAGTCAACCTAAGTTGATGGAAGGGAACAGATGGGAGATGAGCAAAGACAAAAGAGGCCATGTGAGTAGGTGCCACCAGTTAGAGGGCAAGTCACTGGAATTTGATCAATCGACAAGAATTTATTTACTGGACTTCTGGGCATTGTGGGAGATACAAAAGAAGGCAGAGTTATTTTGGATAATGATGTACACAAGACAGATGGCTTGAACTGGGGCATTAATGCTGAACGTAAAGGCTAGAGACAGAAGGCAGAGAGAAAGAGGTTAAGGCAATCCCCCTGGGAGCCAACTTGTCTATGAATCTGCAATTTGTGTGAACATAGAAAAAAAGCAAATTAGGTGAAACTCTGTAGTTGTTATTGAACCAAAGATAAAGAATTCATAGATGAAAGGGAAAGAAATCACCTGAACTTTCCATTTCTGCTTTTAGGTAAATTAGATTAATGAAGACTGGTAAAACATATCCACCTACACATACATACGTTCACTTAGCTAAAACAGGGCAGAGCCTAATGGGTATGACCATCTTGGGAGGAACTAGAAAGTCTTGAAGGAAGCCACAAGCAACATTTAAAAAGTGTCTAATGGCATTTAACAAGGTGAATCTCTATTTATTGAAGTGAAAGTAAATCAAAGCTGCTGTTAACCAACGTAGGACTTCATTGAGAATATGATGAGGAAATAAAATTTCAGGTATCCCTCTTGTATAATAATTAATAACTCTTTTATATGTACTCATTTATTCTAATGTATTTATTGAGGCCCTTCTATGAAAATATTACCTACTGTGAGTCCTCCTATATAAGTTCTTTGCATGCATTATTAGATCAAAGTTTTACAACAATAATATGAAGATACTATTATTATCCCCATTTGATAAAAAGAAAGATGAGGTAAACAGGCTCAGGAACTTGTCCAAATCACATAGTTAGTAGGGGAAAGAGTAGGAATTCATGTGCTACTCTGTGTTATACTTCTACCTGAGGTAAGTGCATTTTACATACTGACAATATAAAATTAAGATTTGGAAGTCCTTCCTCTTGAAAAACATGTAGACTAGTTGTGAGACAGGGAGTCAAACAAACAATTGTAATACAATAAAACACTTACTGTATGTACTGAAGTGATTAAGTATTGTATATGCTAAATGAATGAGCAGAGAAATATATAAATGTCCCTCAGGTTGTAGATACTTTTTGAGCAGAAACGCTAAGGATCAATAATCATCTCCTAGGTAATGAAAGCAAAGATAGAATTCTAGTATATGTAAAATAATACATACAAAGGCCTACAGGTTAAAAAAAGGATTGAAGTAGTTAATAAACACTCCAGAGAGGTAAAACTGAAATGTAGCATTGAGTACAGCAGAAAATATGCGATACACACTTCTATATGGAGCTACAGAATTTAGAATTTATCTTGTGAAAAACAGAAAATTGTTAAAATAAGTTCTGTGAAGAGTTTTCATCAATAGTAGAGGTTCTACAGTTTTATATTGTGGGATCCATAAGGTTATAAAAAGTCAAGGCCTCCCAGATGACCTGAAGGTCACAGATAAGCAGCAATGGCAGCATTACAAATGGAAGACAAACACAAACATAATGGGAAGCTGAGTAGGGTGGTAGGTTCCTGTAATTCCAGCATTCAAAAGACTGAGGCAGGAAGACTGCCATGAGTTCAAGGCCAACCTGGGCCATATAGCCAGTTTAAGTCCAGCCTGAATTACAAAGCGAAACCTTGCCTCAAAAACAAACAAACAAACAAAAGATGAGAGTGGTAGGAAGGCAGTAGCATATCTTAGGAAGCTCTGGGTCCTGTGCCCTGGAGGCTTCAGCAGATATGAAAACATTTCGCACACAGGTGCCATAGCAAGTGATATTCAAGCATTTCTTCACTAAGATAGACATACACAGACACACACACACACACACACACACACACACACACACCAGGCAGCCATACCCTTAATAGCATTCTTATTTCAAAAGCAATACCCAAAGTAAAGTTAGGTAGCTCATTAAAAGGCATGGCTGACCTCCCAGAAACTAACTTCAGGTGTGGCTGGGGCCAGGGGTCAGGCGCATTAAAGATTAGAGATTTAGGAACAACGTTCAAATACTACTTGAAATAAAGCAGTCAGGAATGCCCTGGAAGACCCCTACCCAGGGTCTCTAGGGTAAGCAGGAATGGTCCGACATATACAAATCTATCAGCCTCTGCACACAGAGGTAGTTGACCAAATAAACACAACTAACCTCAGAGTTCAAGTGGTACCACCAAGAGAAGGGGTATGCGGGGAGCAGTCACACTATCTTACAGAGGACAGCATCTGGAATGAAGTAAATAGAAAAATCCCACTTCTCTATACCTAAGAATAACTAAACTGCCCTTGGGTTACAGAATTGGTACACAATTGGCTGAGAGACGAAAACATTCTGAGTAGAGCTTCACACCATACACGTTTGTATGGAAATGAACGTGTACACATAGAAAGTGGAGATTGTCATTTCATTCCTGTCACCAGTTAGGTCTGTGATCATGGACAAGTTGCTTCTTTTTCCTAGGCTTCAGCTCTCACATTTTGAAAATGAAGATGCTAGGAAGGTCTCAGACAACCCCCGAGATCCTTTTCAGCTCTAACGTCATGTCAGGATTCCCGTGGCTACCAGAGATGATAAAATTCTTTGTCAACTTATAATTCTGTTGTAAATGATCCATCAGAGCTTCTTCTTCTTAGGAATTGCCGTATGAAAATGACCCAACAGATGCAGAATTTACATCTTTCTCAGTCAAAAAAACACAGTGCCCCATCGTCTCCTAATGCTGCCAAACGCCTATACCGGAACCTCTCAGAGAAACTGAAGGGGAGCCACTCTTCCTTTGATGAAGCCTATTTTAGAACAAGAACCGATCGGCTGAGTCTCAGAAAGACTTCAGTGGTAACAAACCTCTTTCTATTCTATGTCAGTTTGATTTGTTCAGTTATGTTTGAAGATGTTTGAAGAGTATGATTTGCATTTATTTCTGAAGCTAATGTTTTCACAATTTTATAAATGCTGAAATAGAATCCAGTGGGGAAGGAAGTACATGTATCTATGATGTTAGACAAAGTTTGAGTCATTGTGAGACATTTCCCTTTTCTTTTCTGTAGCTCCTTGTTTTATTATTTAAGAAATAAATCTCATAAAAGAGCAGTTTGAAAAATATGCAATCTTGGGTTTTCTGAGATCTCCAGTGTTCATTCAAATAATAATATTAATACTGTTTTCTTATTTCTGCTGTGTACTCCACATGCTTTCCAAAGACATTCGAAATACAATCCAGGCAATGAATGCACATCTTCTACATTATGATGAGGAGGAGAAAAAGCAATAGAAAAAGAAAACAAACATATAGGGAATGAGAAGAGAAATTGGTTTATCAAAAACCTAGGTAAATATAGGCTTGAAATTTATCATTACATTTATTTTTGAGTTCCCAGGCAGTCAAAGCAGAAAAGAAAACATAATTGGTTATAGCATTCCATTAGCAAATATTTGAAAGTATAGCAGTCTATCAAGAGAAATGAACATTTTCCTGTTGTTAAACTGCCTGACCTCTAAAGATGTCATGGTGAATTACGTAGAGAGAAGGAAAAGAAGCTGAGTACAGTGGCACACAGCTGTAAGCCTAGCACCCCAGAGGCTGAAACAGGTGGACTGTGAGTTAGAGGCCAGCCAGAGCTACACAGCAAATCCGAACCAGCCTGGATGGCATAGCAAAACCCCACCTCAAAATCCAAAGCAGAGAGGTAGTGTACAAAAAGAGTCATACTCTTTTTGATATTAGAGATGTTCTCATAAAGTCTTCTATGTGTCCTCTCCCAGCAAAAGCTAAGGGCATAATATAAACCTGCTCAGCAAGGGTATTTTCCAGGGAGCAATAGCTCCATTTGTCAGAGCTTAAAACAAGTGAATCCTGGCCTTTCCAGATAGAAGCAAGCAAGCATTTGCCAACAAAAGCATGGAGGAGGAAATGACTTAAAAGTGAGAGTAAATATGGGATATGGGAAATTAGAAATACTAAGAATCAAAACCAAATACACACTGTGAACAGGGAAGCATTTTAACTTTGAATTCATTTGTTTTCTAATACTATTCTCATTTTAAATTGATCTTCTGGGAGGGCTTTCCTCTGGCTAAAGTTACCTGATCATTGGAGGCCTTTCAGTTTAGCAGTATGTGGACAAAACACTTTTCCATTCAGCAGACTAGCTCACAGCAATAAGAACCGCAAAAAAAAAAAAAAAAAAAAAAAAAAAAAAAAAAAAAGCTTCATTCCTGGGTCTGTATGGTGAAAACAACAAGCATTAGCATAATTACTTCATATTTTCTTCAAGCTCCCATTTTAAAGCCAGCCAGCATTTTCTGACCAAGAAAATCATTATTTTTTTACAGTACCAGGAATTGAACTCAGGACCTTATGCTTGCCAGGCAGATGCTATGCTGCTAAGCTATATCGCAGGCCACAGAATCAATTTTTGAGGAGACTAAAAATAAAATCTCTCTTCTTACACATTTGGTCACTAAAGGTCTTCCTTGTGCTAACTGGGTGACCACTATGCTGGGTCAAGGCCAATGCTATTTCAACATTTTTAAAGATCAAGCAATTCCAGAATTTTCCTTTGTTTACTGCTAATCTCTTGAAAAAACTCTTCAAAAGAACCATATTCTCTCTAGCTATTTTTCCTATAGGTAATACATATTCCATAAATATTCAACTTCTGGCCCCTTCAGACTCCCAAAACAATTTGCCACAGCCTCTGAAACCTACCTTGAATTCTGCCACTTGAGCAATTCACTTCAGAGCTCAGAAACACCAGATGCATTATAGTTGTGGTTCTACAAAAAAGAAAGCATGGTGTTAGAAAACCAAGTGATCTAGAAATATGAGCATCTACCTGCAGACAGTATGGTGCATTGAGAGCCGTAAGCACTGATAAAGCACGCAACATATATTCTTTAGCAAGATTATTCTTGTAAAGCCTGCTAGAAAAAAAAAAAAAAAAAGACTGGCAGCAAATAGGTCACTGCCATGACAAAGGCCAAGAGGATTACACACCTGGGGATGGAGAGGAAGGGTATGGGTCTGAGAGGAACAGAAAAGGTGTACCACTAGTACTAAGCTAGTCATAGTTAAAACTATCCGTGCTAATGTTATCTATGCCAGTATCTTCCCAACTGTGCTCTATAGAATGCTACTCCAGGGGTAGTTAAAGCTGAACACAAGAAAATGTATGTAACAGTGATTAAAGAAAACACATAATTAAACTGGAATTCCTATAGTAATAAGGGAGCAACTTGGTTTCCTCCAATGCTTACCAAGTTTATTGGATGGACCACATGCTACTTGTTTCATAGCATACCTTTTAACAATCTATCAATTCGTTTTTCTTCTGCAGAAAACTAGTTTGAGAAGTGCTGATTTCAGCACTCACTTAAGACTATCCTTGCTATATAGTGCCTTGCTGTGTTAGGGTATCTAAATTACTTGCTCAGTGCCAATTAGAAAGGACAGAGGAAGTTTCAGCAGGGTTTACTTTAGGAGACCTTGTAGTACATTGTAGTAGTACAATGTCCATCTATAAGGGGGCACACAGTTCCTAAAGCAATCTCTAAATTCAGAATAAGCTACTCCACAAAGACACACTGGTCTGGGAAATGGTGCTAACCTGCTTTCACTGTTCACTTCCAGAACTTCCAGGGCAATGAAGCCATGTTTGAGGCAGTTGAGCAGCAGGACATAGATGCCGTGCAGCTCCTCCTGGACCAATACACACCAGAAGAGCTCGACCTCAACACACCTAATAGTGAGGGGCTGACACCTCTGGATATTGCCATCATGACCAACAACGTGCCCATTGCAAAGATTCTTCTGAAAATAGGGGCTCAGGAAAGTCCACACTGTAAGTAAACATGAGAATAATAGCATTCTAACTAGACCTTCAGGGCAAGGATGGTTGATCCAAGGTTCCAAAATTCTTTACATGGTTCCATGGACTTTCATGCAATCATGTTTATCAGTCTAAGCATTAAGTTGTATTCTAATTAGAATATGCTAAATAATATTAAAAAGGGACTTCCCCTCCTAAAGAACTTCCCTCTAAGTATTTGGTCAAGCTTTTGAATATGTGGAAGATGCCAAATGACAATACAGAATAGGAAGTAAAATAGAAAAAGAATGACTACATGTGTGTTTATGTTTTTGTATACCAGGCAATGTCTTGTTTTCACTTATTTATTCAACAAACACTGTGCAAGGTAATGTTCTGGGTATTGGCAATGCAGTGGTGCATAAAACAAACTTCTTATTGTCACAGAACTCAAAGACTGATGGAAGATACTTCCAATAAGCAAATAAATTAAAACAAAAACTCAAATAATAAATTTGATGAACACAATGAAATAAGTGAGTGGCTAGAGATTGATGGGGAAGATATTTTAAATATGGTTAGGTAAGGGAAGCTTCTCCGATGTGATAGTTCAGTTAGGTCCTACATGAGCGCACAGAAATGAGCCATGTAAAGATGTGGGAGTCAAATCTGGGCAGAGTGAAGAACAACTAGGAAGGATCTAAGGCAGTCAGGAATGGGACTGATGTAGTGCAAGAATGAGCAAGCCAGTGTAGCCAAAGCAAAGTAGAATATGGGAGAGTGACAGCTCAGGAGGAAGCCACTAGGGACCAGATGGTGCAGGACCTTGAGGCCATGGCAAGGTGTTTCCCTTTGATAGCTGAGTGTGACAGAAAAACAGCAGGCAGTTTTGACAGATGAATGTCACAGGCTTCTCTGCATCTAAAGATCACTATGATGTTCTGTGGAGGATGAGCAGTAATGAAGGACTGGTGGAATCAAAATAACCACATGGGAGACCACACTAAGAATCCAGAACACACTAGCTGTTGCTTGGACAAACTTGACTTTGTTGCCGAACAATGGGAGGACTCTGGATATACACTTTGACAGATATCTTAAGAAATAGTTCATATGCCATACAGCTCACCCATGGAAAGTGTACAGTATGATGGGTGTTGGTATATACACAGAGTTCTACAGCTATCATCACCATCGATTTAAGGACTTTACCACCCCAACAAGAAACCCCATACTGTTAAACCATCACTCCTGAATGTCCCCTCTCCTTCCATCCCTAAGAAAATCTTTCTGTTTCTGTACACGTGTCTGTTCTAGACATTTCATATAATGGTAGTGTGTAATGAGTGGTCTTTGGTGAATGGCTCCTTTCTAGATGTTTCGTACTCAAGTCTAGAATAAGACTTGAAGAGTGAGTTGCTCTGGGGCCAATGCAGATCCCATCCAGGAAGGGAGCAGATAATATCTATAGCTTTCAGCCTGTGCTGGGGACTCTTCTGAATACTCTACATGTATTGATTCTTTAATCTTTACAGCATCATGAGGTTCGTGTTCACATTTCCCTTGGTGCAAACCCTCAGACTCAACGACCACAATGGCTCTGTGCCACAGATTTTGTTTCCTAAAAGAAAAAAGTAAACTGATCAAACTGTTAGCTTTACTAATACTGATTCACTTATTTCCGAGTGGTGAGACCCAGAAGGCTGAAAGAGAAGTAAGCAAATATATAATTACGGGTCACATCTCTGCTCCTATATTTTATAAGCCACTACCACCCAAAGACTAGGTACAGAGGCTGATCCTTGTATCAGGAAAGTCTTTATTTTAAAAAGGCTATGTTCACCACATCCATGTCAAAGAGAGTGAGGATCCAGGTGCAATAGGATTTAGGACTTTCAAAACAGCTCCATAGTGAAAGCATTGATCTTTTTTTATAGAACTGGAGAATTTTGAGAGATGGGTAAATAAGTGTGGAATAAATCAAAAAGACACTTTTGCTGCCTCTTAATTCATCCTGCAATAACATCTACCCCAGAGATTCAGGGAAAGAGAAGGAGAAAGAGAATCAGAAGGTCTAGACACAGAGAACGCACACTGAGCCCCATTCTATAGGAACAAGGAGACCATTGATCCAGATATTGCACAGCCGTCCCACACTGGGTTAGAGGAAACATTAGTTCTACTTACCTGAGACACTACCAAAAATTCGGCCTTTTTCCTGAAGACAGAAAGACTCCCAACTTCCCAAAGGCCTCTTGTGCAAATGTAAACCTCCATCAAAGAACTCAAGTACTATCTGGTTAAACCAAAAGCATATTTGTTCAAGATATCCCTAGTTTAACTTGTTCCAGAATTCTGGGATGATAACAGCTTCCACACAATATGACACCTGAATCACCTAGGTGACCCAAGAAGTCAACAATTGCAATAAGCAAGGAGGAGACTTCTAACAAGCAAGTAAACAGATAATTTCAAACAAAAACTCAAATAACAAATTCTATGAAGTAGTGAGCAGCTAGAGATTGATGGGGAAGATAATATGTTAAATATAGTTAGGTAAGGGAAGCCTCTATGATGTGGTAATAGTTCAGTTAGGCCCTAGATGAGCCCACAGAAATGAGTCTGGCAGGATGTGGATTGTATTACACACAGACCCACACGTGTGAAAATGACAAAGGAATATTGATTACCTATGAAGTCTTCATATAAATTATGTCTGGATTTTAGAGTAACTCTGTAGCATAATGTTATTAACTTGATTTTGAAGATGAGAAATTTGTGATTGTAAGGAATTCGATGACTAAAAGTTAGACATGTAGTAAATTAATAGAGATACCAATACCTGGTATCCTTCTACACTAACTGACTCCTTTTCCAAATAACCAGTATAAAAAGCAATGACCTGTGGGCCCCTGCATCTTTTTCTTTGTCCTCTATGTTAAACTCCTATGGCATATTTCTTTATTTTGGTCTATGCATTAAGGGATTTGTATCAGAGAGAGGCAGGATAAAAGAATTGAAAGTTTTCAGGAATTTTTAGTTCACTTTCTGTATCAAGTACAAAAGAAAGAAAATTGCTTTTTTTCATGGTTTGAGCCTACACATGAGAAAAATCATTTTGCTAGCCAGACTGAGATAAGCAAACATCTACTATTAACTATTCCCAAGGAGTTAAAAAGGCAGAATCTAATAGAAGAAAAATAACACAAGCTCTTAGCATGTCTTACATACATAAAATGTATTTGTCTACATCTAACTTGAATCTCACAACTGGCTTGAGAGATGGATGTTATTTTTCTCATTTAATCAGGGACAAAATTAGAATAGGAAAAATTAAATAGCTCACCTAACCCTATGAAGCTAACAAGTGGTGGAGCCATAATTTGAATCCAGATGTCTGTTCAGTGCTTTGGCATTTGCAGAAAAGTTTTGGCAAAATCACTATTAAAGTGGATGCTCAGTTCCTTCCTTTCCTGGCTCTCCCTCTGTTTCTCTTCTAATGACTGTCACATATTGCAAAGCAGAGCATGAGGTTTCTCACACAGTTCATTTTCTTCCTTCCCTTCTCCTGCTTATTCCCTTCCTAAAACCAATCCTATGCCAACTAAAGGAGTCCAACACAATTCAGAAGAAATTCCTCTGCAATCCCCACCATTTCTTACCAGGAATCACAATGACACAGTAGGGTTTAGGAGTAGGGTTTCCAAAGTCATCAATCAGACCAGCATTCCAGTCATTTGACCCTTCACAGAGCTAGATGGAGGTGTTCATAAACATGGCTTGACATCCAACCAGGAACATATCCTTATTCATAGGAAAAGTCCCAGTAGCAGCCCCTCAAATATGCACAATCCCCTGACAATAAATACTGTATGCCCAGTATTTATGCTCGTTAACTCATCAGATAAATCTGCCACCTTTTATTAGTAATGGTTTTCTGTTCTATCTTCAGGCAAATAACCCAAAGTGCACTAGTCTCTCCTCTACCCACAGGAAATACACTCCAATACCCAGTGGATACTTGAAAGTCACATATATTTCCAAACCCTATATATACTATGTTTTCCCTATACATAGCAGATCAGTGACAGTTTAACTTGTAATTTAGGCACAATAGGTGATTACCACCAACCACTAATAATAAATCGGAACAACTATAACAACTAAGCATCACTACCCTTGCACTTTATATTAAGTAGATCAGGGTTACCTGAATACAAGCACTGCATATCATGACAGCTGATCTACTGAAGTGGCTACTAAGTGACTATTAGGTAGGTAGTGTATACAGCATAGATAAAATGGACAAAGGGGATGGAACAGAACATTGTGTCATGCTACTGAGACTAGCGTGCAACTTACAACTGGCAAATTGTTTATTTCTAGAAATTTTCATTGAATATTTTCGGAAATCAGTGGGCTGTGAGTAACTAAAATTGTAAAAATGAACGTGAGGATTGGAGGAGGAGCTATAATAGTCATTCTTGCAAAAAAGTAAAAAAAAATAAAAAATAAAAAGGTATCAGTCATCCTTGAAGTAGAATCCCAAGCACTTCCCTGCAGACTAGAATGTCAAGCCAGGACACAAGCACGGGATCTGAATGGATTCCCTAGGGAAGTCCATGAGCCAAGGGACCACAGGACATCCACAGCTATGCCACTGATGATTTCCAAGTTGTAACTGAACAGCCGCTATTTGAGAAAGACTTGTTATCTCTGGCTATTAAAGCCCCACCTCACCCCCCGTCACACACGTCCCCCTTTTTCTGACTCACTTAAACCCTGTCTTGTCCTTCAATCACAGCCCAACCATCTCCATTCGCTGAATGGTCAACGAAGGCCTTGCCTTCCTGAGGCTGCCACTGGTTTGGCATCTTGGGAGGCCCTGTGAACACTGTTCTGAAAGAAACAAGCTCCTTTTGAGTGCTTACCCTGTGCAAATCTGGTCACTCAGGTGGATTTTCCTGAACCCTCAACCTCAGTACTAAGCACGTAGCAGCAGATACGCAGCAAATTTCAGTCAAAATTTCAGC